CAATGCCTTCTCGACGGAGCATAGGATGGCACACACATCGGTTTCTGCCAGAGCCTCACGAGCTAACCAGTTATTCTTTGATTTTGGTTTCTCCAGTTTAAGAAATAGGAATAATAAAAGGACTGGGAGGAAAAAACTTTATGACTTGCCAGACTGCACTGACCGACAAGTCAAAGAATACGAGTCATATTAAAAGGCATTTGGAAAAATGTCACTAGGAAAATATTTGAGAAGATGTAAGAAAAGAAAAAATCCTGCCTGGTCAAAGACTCCAAAGGAAACATTTACGACAAAACTTCCATAGTTCAAACTGATCCAACAGATCTTCAGAATTAACGGCAAATAAATCACTAAAATTTCAAACTGTTTTCATCAGTGATAAGTAAAAAACTTTACGTCACAGTAAACCTTCATGATCTCCAAAATATACATTTATGCCTTACAATAACCAAAGAATTTTTTTTAAGCTAGTGAAGAATATTTTTGATGTTAAAAAGCAAGTTGAAACTCTACTCCTGACCAAGGATGTGAAAACTATCACCTTTAAGATCAAAACCTTAGCCCAATGTGGCTACAGGTAAATTTTCTCCATATGAAGTTCGAGATTGTGAAATAGAACACCTTTATACATGGATATAGATGATCTCTGTAGTCTATAAATAAATACATATTTTTTGAAGGAAATATGAAGGAAAGTTACCATTACTGAGTTTTTTACAAAAAAAGGGCCCTTATGATTACACGTCTACAGCTTCAATGTTGTTTAGGCTCTATTGAAAAAAAAAAAAATTCAGCATTTTAACCACCTTTGCTAATACACTGCTCTTCCTGTAATTCACCAGTTAATAAAGATGACAGTATGCAAGCAGCAGTGAAGTACAGTGGGTGGGCTAAGGGGGCGTTGTTCATGTGTTGACACCATCTAATATGTTGACAAATGTGTGCTTTAGTGGCCAGTCAACAACTCACTAATATACGGCCGCAACACTTTGTGTGAGGAGGGACCGAGGTGGTGCAGAAGCTGCAGAGCAGGCCTGAACCGGAGCTGAGCACAGAATAGTGTAAGTGTTTTAGCAGATAGGTGGACGAGAACATGCCGTCATCCTGAAACATGGTCCACTGCAGCCAGAGGCTGTAAATCTCACAGCGTCTAAATTTCAACTCTGGCTAGAGAGTGAGAAGGCACCTGCAGTCCTGCAGTGCACTGAGAAAAGCACACACCACATATTTCTACACACACATACACACGTCCATTATGCAAGGTTAGAGTCATTCATGCAAGAGCTGTCCAATTTTTTAGGGTGAGCACATATTTATGTAAAATGCATTTTTACATATGAATTTACTGCAAAAAATATGGCTTTGGTAAACTGCATTCAGTTTCTAGATTATTAATGCATTACACATTTTATCCTATTTATTCTGTCATCACAAGGAAAGCTTAAAAAGAATTCCTTTTTTTCACAGTCCAACAAACAAAACTAAACAAGGATGTTCTATACACCGCTAGTACTACAAATGCCGCCGGTATTAATACACATTTGATAAGATCCTGTGGGCCAAATTTGGACTCTTGGCCTGACTTTGACACCTATGGTCTAATCTGACTGTAAGCCACATTTTCATCTTTCAGATGACATTTGTACATTATGTAATCCACTTGCATCATCCTTCACTCCTATATGTTATCACTGCCCCCCCTACCCTCTACCCCCATTTTAAGATAGTCTTTCACACCATATCTAACAAGAACCTCCTCATCTCCTCTGCTCCTTTTACCGTGTCCATTGAAATCCGCTCCAATCGCTGCCCTCTCCCCACTGGGGACACCGTCTACCACTTTATCTAGCTGGCTCCAAATGTCCTCTTTATCTTCTAACTGACATTTGGCGATTTTTAGAATCACATCCTCCACTTCTACCTTCAAGCTCGTGTCTCTGTCTGGAACTCTATTCACGTCTACAATGGTCTTTACAGTTTTCTTGAAAAGTTCCTGACACCTTTTCTCTTGTTGTCTAAACCAAAGCAAAATAGCTTGAAACCACCTCCAATGTTCCTGGCCTTCAATTTTGTCTACGGGAGTGGTTCTCAAACTGTGGTTCGCATACCACCAGTGGTACACAAGCGCTCTCTAGTGGTACACAGGGAAAATTTTCACATATCCATTTTCAATTGAATAAATCTGAAATACACCATGCACAATTAATACAACATTTAAACATGAACATCTTTGTAAACATTTCTAAACATCTCTCTCCTGTGTGGTGGAAGCTAACAGTGAAGGCCTATGCTGCTATATTCTAATGTTGGTCATCATGGTGGAGCTCAGAGAAATCAAGGTGGGTACAGAGTAGAAAAAGTTTGAGAACTACTGGTCTACTGAACACACAGGATATCTGGCCTTCTCCTCTTCACCTCTACCAGTCATTGTCCGGACATACTCTAAACTCTACTCCTGCCTTTCCTCTTCTTCAGTTTTACACCCTTGCTGGTGTGACCCTCACTAATTTATCTTAGATTGGGACGGGCACTAGGAGGACACTGAGTGTTTCCCTCGAGTGGCTGTGTCTGCAAAATAATAAATGTTGCAAATAAAAAATTCACCCTTGATATTTAATCAAAATATTTAAAAAAAGCCTGTGCCAGCCAAAAACTGAGCAATAAATAGTCTACAAATTAAAAGTATTTTTCATCAGCTAAAAATAACAAAAAAAATTACACTTGAAATGACTTAAATTCAGACAAACATATATCAGAATTATATAAATATATAAATTATTTCTGCCATTACAAAATATCATACCATTAGTCAAAGTTAAGTCAAGCTTTTACACAACAAACCCCCTAAAGATGAAGAATGTGGAAGAGTCTTCTGATGGAATAGCATCAGAGTGGTTGAACTTTGGAGCCAACATGGGCTGGTTTTGCAGAATGCTGAAGGATTCTAAACTAAACCAGGGCTTGACTTTTGCTTGAGTTAAAGTTCTGCTAACTTAGACTGAGTTTAGAACTGAAGACAGACATGTCTAGGACCAGAAGCAGATTTCCAGTTAAGTTTTCCTGGATCTGAACGCCTAGGAATATCATTGCCTAAATGTTTACATGATGTAGTTGTAGTTGGCTAGAAACTGAGCTTTCCGTATCGACCCATGTTAGACTGTGTCTTCGTAGCTCTGTACAGTTCAGAAATAGAGATAATCTTCTAGAATACTCTGGCAGATTCAGT